TTGCACAGGGCCATGTCTTGCTCATTCTCCAGCAGTCCCATGCATAGAGTAGGCACTCAGTAAATGTTAACCTAGAGGACAGTTTACAAAAACAACGCTTTTTATAAATAAAGCCCCCAACAGCCTTTGTCTGCACAAGACGTTTCCAACTTTCTTTCCTTCCTTCTGGGGAAGATACAAAACAGAATCAAGTTTTGACATGCTAATTTCTTATGGAAAATCTAGAAAAGAGACAAGGTAAGATGAAATTAATGGAAACTGAAATGGACACTTGAAGTCAGCATGCTGGATATTTGTTTCCTCCTTTCTCACTTGACATTCCAATTATGTCTAAATCGTACTGGGATACAAACCACTGAGATCAATTATTTCCTTTCAGCAGATCTCATAGAGACAAATTGATAGGGCTGTGACATCCTTCAGCCTCAGATGGAAATTTCAAGCAGCAGAAGAAAGCATTAGTAACCATTGCATAGAGTGATATGCCCTAGAGAATACAGACTACCACCTGGATTTCTAAAATGGCTAATTTTCTGGCGACTTCCTCCTGATTTTGGTCATTTTGATGTATACTCAGAGAGAAACACACTTTTGTTACATCTGTGCTAGAATACAGTGATATAATGTGAAGCCATGCAACCTATTTTTCCTTATTCATCTCCACTTTGTCTTCCATTTATGCCTTTACCTCAGCTAATCAAAAAAGGTAAGGACCTTTATTAAGCTCCCTTTAAACAGGGAAAATGAGATTTTATTTGATTTATTTGATTTTTTAAAATCCATTCCTGTCCTCAAGATCAGGCCATTCCTCAGTGTTTCTCCACAATATCTAATACAATTCCACTGACACATAAGAATGGGAAGAGTCTATTGGTGTTTGGCCCCATTGATAACTTCCCAAAAGTTATCAACAGACTACTTAAGATCTTTAAGGCTTTCTGCTACCACAGGTTCTGCTTCTCATCCTGGGCTCTCTAAAAGTGGTAAATCCATATAACTTATGGGGAAAAAGACACCAAAATAAATATAAGGCTCGGCAATAAAATCCAGATGAATGAGGAGCATCATCTCAGAATGCACATTCGTTCAGATGCTTTTTCACGCTGACATTTTTCATCCATGTGGCACTTTCTCACTGATAAATGAGGAGCGAGACCACGTTTCTCTGCAATCTGAAACTTAGATTATGAATTTTCAAGCAGTCTCTGACCTCGACTGCAGGCACCTATCACCTGAAAGGTATCCCTGACAATGGGTGATGTTGGTCGGCTTGCCTGGTCAGCAGCAAAAAGCGAAATGTTGGTATTTGAAAATGTAGGTAATCAAATCTAATGCCCCTTAGGTGGCATTAATCTGTTTCTGTTTGCAGTATTTAGTCATGCATGATTCAGAAAAGAAAATTTGATAAGATTTTTAAGGAATGAAATTAGTTAGGGAGAGTGACTTGTGACTCATTTTAAACTTTGATGAGAAATAGAAACTTTAGGATGACAATAAGGGAAAGAGAGAGTTTGGCCATTTCTTCTGGGGGGCTTGTGCCGTGGAGCAGAGACAGAGGAGAAGGCAAAAGTAAGAATTTAATTGCAAATGCCTCCTAGTTTATCCAAACCCATTTGTGTTGGGATAGATGCGGCCTGTCTTCCCCTACCTCAAGTAATCTCATCTACAGTTAGTTAATTAGTTTTGCCAATTACAGTTTGCTTCCAAAGTGATGCCCTTTCAAATTCATATTCTTGGAAGATGGTTAATAATAGGGAATTTAAAGGCAAAATATCAAGTTCACAAAAGTTAAAATAGAAGGTGTGTAAATTTCATTCACTTCTTTAAGATTATAAAATGAAAAGCTTTAGAGCTGAATATACACATTTATGAGTCCTTGGACCTGTATTATTTATTTAACCATCTGTAAATGAGTTTAAAACATTTTAAAGCATATTTAAATTACCAAAATAACCAAAAAGTAAAAATCAATGATTCCAAACTCTGATTCAGGTTTTGTAAACAAGGTGTGTGTGTTTTCTATAACCAATTTTATATGTACAATTATACCCCTTTATTTATATAGGTTTGTTTATATGAACATATAGTTATACATTTATATTTATTTGTAGTGAAACATGTCCCAAATATGTTGGACTTTTTGGGAATTAAAGAAGAAATTCTTGGTGAATGAAGTCTGGGATGGGTTCATCTTTTTTTTTTAAGCATAAAGAAAACACACTCCTGCAAAATAATGTTCTTTGGAAATGCTTTTTTAAATCGGCTGCACATGTGTGGCTAGACAACTTCTTATTCAAGCTAAGTAAACATGATTAATTCTGGCAGCAATTCAGATGACACAGAGAAATGTCATGAATTCACTGGATCAGGATAAATTTATAATTGCTTTCCTAGAGCAAGAGTTTACTTTTATCGTAACAGCCTATAAAATAAATAAATGTAGATTTATATATTTGGATCGGCAATTACAAAGCTTCTCTTGAAGTTTCTACTTTCTTAATCACGGTTTCTAGATGTTTCTTAAAATATTTAAAGTTTTAATTTCAAGAATTCCCAAGGGAAGAAATTATAGCTCAATTCTTTATGTTCACGCTAGTTAATTCTTTGATAATCAACCATGGTTTATATATTTGCACAGATCCCATATAGATTGTGCTTTTGCATATTTTGGTCATAAAATAGTCAGAACTAAAACAAAACTTTGGTTTTAAAATGAAAATTGCTAATTAAAGTTAAAAGGGCATGGTATTTCTGACTCTTAATTTGGGACTGGATTGGGAAAAGGAAAAAAAAAATCTACATGACACCTGAAACTAATATACTGTGTGTTAACTAGAATTTAAATAAAAACTTAAAAAAAAACTTAAAAAAAAGAAAGGGGAAAGAGAAAAGGAACCCACAACTGTCAGCCTGGACATTGGTTTACAACCAGGAATGTATTGATTTTATCTTTTTGGGAATGCATGAAATAATACAAAAAATTAAGAAATTGTAAGCAAAGGGGAAGCTAAAAGGAACTTATATTCAAACAACAGTATCATTGAAGTACTACATAAAAAGCATGAAGGCACATACCACAAAATCCATTTCAGCAAATTTTTATATTAGACCAGAAAAAATCCTGGCCTGGGATCATGGGCAAGCACATAATTGCTCTGTGTATCTCTGTCCTCTCAGTTAAATAATATAGAGACCCTGCCCCTCCACCCAAGCTCTAAAATGTGTAATATTTCCCCTGTATGAAAAAACAGAATCAGGAAGAGCAACTAATCAAAAATCGTAACATTTTCAAAGTATACAACCCACAATAAGGACAAAAAGGGGGCCCTGGGTCGAGACCTTCATTGTGTGCAGACCTAGAAAACCTGAAATACTGAGATGAACAGCTCACTTTTCCATGAATTTTCTGAAAAGGAAATGTGCCTTCTGAATGCAACCTTGTATCTACTTTGTGGAAACACAATAAAATAATTACAAGCACTGGGAAGCCAAAAAGAAAGCCAAAGCAAAAAACTGTATAAGTTCTTCAGTTATGTTTGAAAAAGGAACACGTTGTTATATTTAAATTGATAAGAACTATGGCTAAATTTTTAATAAAAGCCAAGCACAGTTGAGGATCCTGAGCTCTGGTTAGTAACCAACATGGAGGCGTTTGGGCCAATGTTCTTTTCAGCTTTTTAGCTAGAGAATGGACCGATATTTACAATGAAAGGAGAAGATAAAAGTCATTTAAATTTGCCAGGAAGCAAACTCCAATTTCATGCTTAGGAATATTGGTTTTTTGTTTTTGTTTTTGTTTTCATATCAAAAGCTTTCATCAGGGGACCTGACATCACTGTTACTGTTTGCAGTGTTAATTGGAGGGCCCGTGTGACTCTCCTATATTTAGGTCCACACACTTCCCCAGGCAGGGTGCCTGTGTTAATGGCTACCTGGCCGACAGGTGGGGCAGGGAATGTCCTGTAGTCCGCAAGCTCACCGGTCGCTCACTATTATCATCACATGCTTGTCTACTTACTAGACTTCCTAGGAGCTATTTGAGGGTAGGAAGAGCTCCTTTCTCTCACCAGGGTCATGGGTTAGGAGAATTGATTAGGTGAGGAAGTTCCTTATTTAAAAAGTTAATGACCAGGGGTGCCTGGCTGGCTCAGTCAGAAGAGCAGGCAACTCTTAATTTTGGGGTCATGAGTTCGAGCCCCATGTTGGGTGTAGAGATTACGTAAATAAATAAAAACTTTTAAACAAGTTAAAAAAATAAAAATTCAATGACTCCTCCTGAGTTTTCCTCCTGAAACTCATTCACACCTTGGGATGAATTACTTTGATCTAATAATATGCACAAGTGCTTGGATTTTACCATTCACTGGGTGGGACCTCAGACTGGCAGGGAAGGTTGGGAAGAGAAGTCCTCCTTGGGGTTGGGGCTTTGGACTGTTAAAAATAGCAGTAGGGACAGACCAGGGAAAATGCATGGGGGGGGTGGAATCCAGTAAGGGTGTACAGAGTGGTTAGAGGCTCTGCTTTCTGAGCTGATCTAGAAGGATTTGACAGCACAGGCCACCCGAAGTTTTGGTAAAAATTTGGCCTTTGTGAACATACAGCAGTTTGGTGAAGCTGGTGTTCGGCAACTGAGCCTGGAAGCTGCACATTCCAGCTTCTCCCAAGGTACTCACATGAACCATAGGGTCCGGATTCGCTGTGCTTTATGTGTTCAAACCCAGTCCCTGCTTCTCCTTAGTAGGAGGAGCAGAAGAGAGAAGAAATGAAGAGAAAGGATACCAAGTGCTATGACTCCTCCTTCCCTTTTGTCTTCCTTATTAGTCTAGTCTTGTGGGGCTTTCATAGAATTTCTCACTTCATAGGACATCTAGAATATATTCCCCTGCCCTTCCCCACCACCTTCCCAGACCAAATGTCTCCATCAACTGATACCATCTTCCCGAGCTTGGAACACAGCTTTGTACTCAAAGGTTTCTTATAGGGCCTGGCAAATTACCTACCCGCCTTCTTCTGAATATTTATGCCCAAATGCCAGGATGTCAGATGCCCGTCCACTCCCATCACAGACAACAACAGGCACGGGAGGGGTGTCTCGAAGGTACTCCAAGACAATCGAGATCACATTGGGTCCTCCTTCCACAATGAGTGCCACCACCGGAACTCCTTGACCGATTCCTGCATTAAAAAAGGAAAAGAAAAGGGAAAAAAAGAGAAAAGAACACAAAGCCAGCAAACCAAAGAAACAAAAAGGGAAACAAAAAGCACAAACTAAAATTACTGAGCACGGGGGAGATCACAACATATGAAGGGATAAAATATGGAGCAAAAATTGCTTCCTTTCACAGAATCTTCCCACCAGAGTCTATCTGACTTTGCCCTCTCCCCAGAGTTCCCGGGGTGCTGGGGTCGGTGAAGGGACCCACTGCCATACTTTACTGGGGGTGGGGTGCATAGGGTGAGGAAGGAGAGGAAGGAAGGTTAGTAGATCAAGCCTTGAGCCAGCAACCAAAGACTGGAAGCTAAATGTGACCTTAAGCAAGTCTCCTATGTACCTAGTGGTTCAGTTTCTTATGTGAAAAATGGGAATTTAAAGCAGGCCAGATTCCTGATGTCATCACAGTGCTAACTAAGAAAACATCTGAATGGTTCACTTTATTAAAGACTATCAAAATCAGCTGGGGGCATACATGCACTTGTTGAGTCAACTGCTGGCTACATTAGGGGTCTATCTATATCTGACCATAAATGATCCGCTTGATTATGGGTTCTTAAGAGCATAACAGTCACGATAAAGAACCCAGAAGACATGGCATCCTGCCATCTGCCGCCTGCCATTACCGTGTCCTTCACCACTGAGCAAGGCACCAGGCACATGGTGGGTGGTCCGGAAACAGTGGTTGAATTCAGTTGTTGAATTCTGGGGTGTCACAGACCTTTTCTAAAGTATTTAAGTTATTAATGGTGAGCTAGAAGCCCTAAAAATTGCCCTAACATCAATACTCATGTGGGGTTCAACCTAACATATTAAAGATGAGTATTAAAAATGAATGTCCAATGAGACACGATGAAAAAGAAACGAAGTTCATTTTCAAGTGACCTCTCAAGGGTCATCATGGTTCATCGGATAACATCTTGTGCTCATTTTGGTATCATGCTGCATTTTCTCACTCTTCACCTTCCCAGAATAGTTAAGGAATTGAGCAGTACCATAAAAATGAGATGGTTTTGTACAGAGCAGTTATCTTAAAAAAGAAATAATCAAGATTCTGTACCACTTCTGTAAATACGAACTAAAAAAAAAAAAAAAAGGCTTTAGTCATCTCAGTTTTTCCCTTTCCCCTTCCTGCTGTGTTTTATTTTTTTTTCTTTTATCCAGAACCTGCTGCCCTGTGAGAAATAATAGTATGAGGTTTTGTTTCTTGCTCCATTAATAAGAGATTGTATTTGAATTGGGTGCCCTGTTATACTTCCACAGTATTATCAGTATCCTGGGGGCTTCTCTTTTCTAAGTCAGTGTTTTTGATGATTTGGTTTTCATCTTAAAGGAATGCCCAAAATGTCAGTTACACAAAAATGGGTGCTGTTTTTAAATCAACATTTTAAAAATGTAAGAAAATGACAACTGTGGGTCCCAAGATTTCTTTTTGTGCTCCAGAGGGCGTTGGAAGAGAGCGATGCCCCGTGGTGCCGGTCGATGTTTCTGTGGATGGAAAAGCTTTGGGAATTCCTCCTTCAAATCCAAGGAGAGGGAAGAGAAAGATCAGTGTGGCTCCCCTTTGGTTCAAAGGCCCTTAATGATTCAGACAAAATGTCCCTTTAAAACTCTATTTACATGTCTATGAAGGAGACATGTTCCCCTCTGCTGATCACGAGGAGTAAGTAAATTCTGTTGAAAGGCTCTTTGAAAGTTAAGGGCTAACTTGAAATGTTAATACAGCACACTGCTTTTGGAAGAGAACTTGCTGACACAGGAAATACCCACCCCTACGTGGATGTGTATTTTAATATGCGGTGGAAAAGGGTCTCTTTTCCAATGTTTAAAAATTATTTTATGAGGTATTTCCCAAAGAACTGTGCTTTTTAATTTTTCCCTTTTCCTTGCGCTAGTACATGCTATTGTATTGCTTCATACCAAGGAACAGTACACTGTGTTTGCTGTTTTATACCAAATGATTTATTTAGACTCATTCTAGGATCTTCCAAGAGAGGCATTTGCCAAATTCTGATCTTGGGCACTGATTCTGTCGGTGGAATCTTTACTCCAAATCACAGACCAATCGTGATCCACTCAACGTTCTCATGGCGAGAGAAGTCTTAGAATGGGCCTTCTAGAATTTCTGATCATCTACAATCTACCGGACAATAGGCAAGATAGTTGGAAACATCTCTTCCCTTTGAGAGGATACAAAGGTGCAACGGATCAATTTTCATAGCGTGACTTGAGAGCAATAAACTGTCAAATGATTTCATATCAATGTATTTATTACTGTACCAAATTGTTGTAACCCCTAGAAACAGAGAAACATTTTAGATGATCAAATTTCCTATATTTAGAATGAAGCCATTATCAATTACAAGGATGAGAACAACTATATTAACTTATATTATTACTATAATATTATGACCCAGTGCTAAAAATTGGATGAAGTATCAAGATAGAATCTCCCTTTTCAAAAGTACTGAATATATCTGGCCTCCAAATTCTCTTCCATTTCCTACAGTGATAATACATGGAAATTTGTTCCATAGACAACAAAAGCTCTTATAGTCTAAAACAAAGTACTTTTGAATTTCCTAGTTATGGGAGGTAGAGAATGAGGCTATATCTAAAAATATCATGCTTTATGTAAACTAAATCTGCCAGAATATGGTAACATTAAGTTCCTGTCAAGACACACACACACACACACACACACACACCACCTTTGTTTCTGTGAAAGGAAAATGATATCAAATAATCAGTGATGAACAAAAGCAGTGGTTCTTAGCCTATTTTTTTTTGGAGACAAGGGTCTCTGAATACTTTTGTGAATCTGATGAAAGCTAGTGGCCCTTTCTCCAGAAAAATAAACACACATATGGATAGTCAAAAAATGTGTCTATGCAATTTCAAGGGTTTATGGATCTTTGAGAGCGATTCATGAAAAACCTGTGAATAGACCCTTACAGAACTCCACCCTAAATTAAGCACATTGTTGCAGCTGCAAAGAGCATCAGCTTGCCTTATTTTATGAAGCTCCCTGAAACCTGTGAGAGAAGTTCTAGAATGGGTTTTCAAACGAAACTCTGTGCCCAAGGGAACTATACCATACTATTCCTGTACAGTTAGAGCGACTGGCTAAACTTCCATAGAAAACACTGTAGGATATCACCCTTCCCTTCATTCTCTCTCTTGTTTTTCTTTATTTCTTCTGTTCACACTTTAGTTCCTAAGTTACATTTTGGACACAGGCTATTACAAATACCCTAGAGAAAGTCACAAATATAAAAGTTAGACTCTGTAGTATGTGACCTCATTAGTAAAGAAAAAGCTTTTTAAACTATCAAGAACAGGACATTTTCTATTAATGACATAAAGAAAACACTTTTCTTTCTGGAATCCACTACATATTCAGCTCAATTCACATGGCTCACTACTACTTTCTTTATGCCCATAACAAAATTAATATAAATTCCTTTGAAGATAATTGCAAATTTATACCATACTCAGCTAAACCTACTAGCCATTCACAAAAAAAAAAAAAATAGTTGTTCAGATTTATAGTTTTAAAAAATATAACCTCTATTATTCAGGAAACTTTTTTCATTTTATCTAAAGCCCTCAGGGACTTTTTTTGTGTGTGTGTGAATACATTTCCTGTGCTTTTGGGGAAAAATAGGTTAATTCTTTAGTTGATCACAATAATTTTCCTCATTTTCTACCATAACCAAAGGCTTTCAGTAGTTCTCAGAGATTTCCATTAGAATTTAATTTTAGAGTAATGTGGAGTTGCTTAAGCAGGAAGAGGCAAGATACTTGCCACACGCTTGAGATTTTGCAATCTTGGAGCTAGAAGCATAGCCTTCAAAATTGTGGGCTTGGGTAATGGATTTAACAGCTACATTCTATAACATTCCAAGTTGAGCTAGGGCTTTCAAATTACAAACTGAACCCCAATTCATTGTTCTTTGCAGAAAATAACCCCTTGGACTTTTGTTACAGTTTGTTCTGACTGCTATGTCCTTTAGCTTGGGCTCCCAATGAGGCAGAAAGTGTCAAAATTGGCTTCAGCAAAAACTGGGTTGGGTGTTGTGAGGAAGGGAGGTGGCAGGAATAGGAGAAAGTCTTAAAATTCCAAAAGCCCCCCCACCTTCTTTCTTTATGCTGACTTGAGATCATAATCTATGATCAGTTCAGGCACTTGTGAAAACATTCAGCCTGTTGTAGTGAAACGCCTGGATAATGTGAGAATTTTGATTAAGTAAATGAACACTTTGGTTTTATGTCAACATCACCATATATGATCTAAAATGCCTATGGGCCTAAGGAATAATTTATTTTCTGTTGGGAAATGGTTCATATTTACATGAAGATGGAGAATAGAAGGTTGATCTCAGGGAGGTCATAATGATGTAGGCTAGAGATCATATGATTATTACAGTAGAAGCCATTTAGAAAGGAGGGTTCAAACTTTCTGTGAGAGATGGCTTCCTGAAGATCTTAATGTATTCGAGACTGAGTCTGTCAATGGTGGGTGGGTATTTCTGTCAAGCCCCTGAAATTGTGCAGCAATAACATGAACACAGTTAATTCACTGGCCTTGACACCTCTGGGATTATGTGATTCTTGATGATTTGGAAGTTTGTGTGGAGAACTCACATGCATTGAAATTATGTATATGGTAGGACTTTACCAGTATATTTTATGTTTCACAATTTTAAAGTTACATAATTAAAATTGGCATAAAATTTTAAAGCATTGAACATGTCCCCTTCATCCAACTTCTCACTTCAATCACCTGGTCTTTGGTTCAATGGTTGGCCTCTACCAACAGAACACTGGTCACTATCTTCTGTATTTGGACTACACAATGAAGCCATAAAAACTCAGCAACTGCCTAAGATTTTGCATTTTTCAAACAGAACCTTGCACAGACTTGGGGGACATTAGCAATTACTATAGTGATGGGAAGAGA